AGGATGCAACGCTGGAACATAATTCTGTAGTTCGGCCGAATGTAAATATCAAAAATCAAAATTCGGCGGCAGGGAGGATAAAAGTCGAAAATGAAAAATATAATTTAGACGATCAAAACATAATTCGGCAGCGTCCGAATATAATTCAGAGCTACGTAATAACAAAAATCGTATCACAATTATTCAATTTAAAAGAGCCGAACATAATTCCATCCAACGCTGGAACATAATTCTGTAGTTCGGCCAAATGAAATATCAAACACCATAACATAATCTGTTTTCTAATTTTGACCCTAATAACGCTTCATACTGCTTCTCCAGTAGGGATATTGTTACAATAACGTACAACAGCATTGTATAACCAGTCAAGGCGAAATTGTATTACATCATTCTGACCAGTACTACGTTGAAGGAAACCTATGATATCAGTTACATGTCTGCTTAATTCTACAGAAATCGACTCGTCCGCCATGTTTGACAGAATTGTAGTAATTAGAGTAATTTTAGAGAGCCTCGCCCCTGGACTCCTCGTGACTTTCTTCCTGCGATGCCCAGTCCATCAGCCGAACATAATTCAGAGAAGATCGAAAACATAATTTAGAAAATCAAAACATAATTTAGCACGTCATATCGATCAACAGAATGTATAAATTCGGCGGCAGGGAGGATAAAAGTCGAAAATGGAAAATATAATTTAGACAATAAAAAAATTATTCGGCAGCTTCCGAATATAATTGAGAGCTACGTAATAACAGAAATCGTATCACAATTATTGAAGTTAAAAGAGGCGAACATAATTCCATGTAACGCTGGAACATGATTCTGTAGTTCGGCCAAATGAAATATCAAACACCAAAACATAATCTTTTTTCTAATTTTGACCCTAAGAACGATTCATAGGTCGCGGGCCTGGTTTTTGAGCGAGCAAAACCCCTAGAATGCCACTTGAAAACCAAACTTAATAAGATTTATTCCTAGGAAGAACAAGACTAAAACAAATGAATTTACATTTTCATAATATGTTCAAATTAAGCACGCCGAGGCATAAGGGAAATAAACACTCAACAGCTAAAAAGCCTCAGGGAAATATAAGAAACGAAGAAACCTATCATAAAAGAGTACCAGTTGTGCTAATGGGCAACTTGCCTGAAAGCATTCGAAAATTCGTATCGCACGCGCCTAATCAAGAAATTTCCAATAGCACTTCCTCTTCCGTTGACTGATTTTTCTGACTAAAGTAAACGAACATTAACTACAACTTTCCTATAAGATGGAACAAGAATGGTTAGATTCTCGCCCTTGTCTAAACAGCTTTACATGGCATGAAAGTTGATTTACGGGTAGGATCTGAAAGATGCTACATTAAATTTTGATGAAGAGAGAGTCCTGGCATGGTTTCTGAAAATTAATCAATTATAGAAACAGGATGTAAATATGTGCGGCAAACATGGCAAAGGAAAATTTAAGTTCCTATTAATTGGCTGAGAATATAAGGCAAAATTACCAATTTTATGCTTTATTTGGGCTCTCAGCATGAGAAAAAGATATAGCAATCCCCACAAAAGGACAACTCCAATCTAGAATAATTGAAAGAAATTTGATACCAGAATAACAGTGATAATTATCACGACATAAAGAGAGTAGCTCCGCAAAAAAGCTAACACTAACACCAGGTTTGGTTTAGGAGGCACTCCTTTATTACTTTTTACAACTTTTTAAAAGACTAAGACTTCCCCAACAACGAAATAACAGCTTTAAATTATCTAAAAAACTCAGTGCCAACAGGTATTAATTAGCTGACGATCGACACATATCGTATTGCATACTCTGTTTTCATTCTGGCAATTTCCTTGCACCTGCTGGCCTAGTTCGGGAATAAAAGGAAACAAATATTTATTTTTCTTCATTTTATACTCAGACTGTGAAGACTAAAGATGCATCTCTGCATAATATTTATACTCTGTGCGGTTGTGTACGGCATTAGCCGTAATTCAGAGCCAGACTTGAAAGCTATTAACTTTTCTGATAAGATAACAGGACAGAAGCTGAACGAAGGCCTGATAAGAGAAATAGAAGTGGATTCGGAAACTTCTTGTCAGTTTGAGTGTGTTGCTGAAGAGCGATGTCAGTCTTACAACTTTAGAACCATAAAGGGCGACTCAAAGCAATTCAAGTGCCAACTAAGTGACTCTGATCGATTTATTGGATTTGCTAACTTTACTGAGGATAAGGATTTCATTTACAGGGGGATGATGGTAAGCTAGGTCTGTTCAGTAATAACTTATCACCGGGCACAGTAAACAAAGAGCCAAATTTTAGGGAAAAATTTTCCAACAGTCGTTGAGGAGGTCGCTTTTGCGTTAAAAATTTGCTAATGGCCATTGAAGAGAGTGAAATTCAGCCTCATATTATGCGTTAAATATCGAACTTTGCTCTTTTTTCTTGGACAGGGGCATTATTTATGAACTTTCTCGAGTTACCCGATCCAAAAATGCTGCGTGTCCTGTCGCACCTTGATAAAAGTATCTAGCATGTAGAATACCAAATGTTGGAAACCCTAGCTAATTACTTACTTCAACAAGATAACTGAAATATCGCACCTCTTGAGTACACCCACATCTATGTTGTCAAGAGTAGTTTTTAAATGATCTTTTTCTCAAGGAGCCTGTATAAAACCATGAATCCCCAGAGACCCTTCATCCGAAAGGTCATGATAAACTTCAAAAGGAAAGGTTGTTAAGGAGATATTTTTTCGCAGAGTGTTTGCGAGAAGGACAGGTTTCAATGTGGCAAAAAGGGAATCTGCATTCCCAATTATGAAGATGGCAGCACACGATGCAAATGTGCCGATGGCTATTCTGGAGAACCTTGCAGTAAGTTAACGATTTAGATTAGGGCGGAGAGAAGTTCCCAACCTCTCTCCGTCCTGATTTGGACATGAAATCATAGGCGTAGGGGAAAGCTTTTGGAGTGGGGGGCTGTGAACCACTTGCCCAAAACATTCTTGCAAGTTGCCCAAATTTTTAGAAACAAACGAAAAGAATCGAGGGTCATACAATACACCAACATAGGCGAGGTACATATGAATTGAAAATATTCTTATCAATGAATCTATCACATGAGCTCATAAAACACGTTCTGCCATTTCGATGGCCAAAGATATCAATTGTATGATCCTTATCAATGTTGACTACAAAGTCGGAATATGTCCTTTGGTGCTGCGGGGGTAAGTTTTGAATCTGCGCAACTCACTGGATAATCGTGCTGCAGAACACGATGTAGCAGGTATCACTGCAAGGATATGTACCACTTTAGAAAACTCTAGAAAAATATGTATCAAATAGATCATTCTCGTGTATTACCTCCCGCATATCTGAAACAGTCATCTAGCCTATTCCGAACTTGCGACGAAAACTAGCGTACATTTTCTGTTCGGCTCTAAAATCTCGCCGTCGATGTTGTGAAACTTTATCCACTGGCTATGCCAAAATTTGTCTTGTTGCCCAAATAACCTGAGTTTCCCAAAACTATTTTTTGCAGGGGGAGACTACAACCCCTAAGCCCCCCCGGTCCGTATATATATATGCAGTACACAGTTTGAAATCAATCATAAATCAAGAAAAACTAGACTAAACCACTCTTTTTCTTCGCAACAGAGGGGAAGAGCTGCTCACAGTTGTTTGAAGATGGTTTCAATACCAGTGGCGTATACGCCATTAATCCGGATGGCGGTAAACCGATACAAGTGTTATGTGAAATGGCCACGGAAGCAGGAGGTTGGACCGTTTTTCAGAGACGTTGGGACGGCTCTGTTGACTTCTATCTTGGATGGGAATCTTATAAAAACGGGTTTGGAAATCTGAACGGTGAGTTCTGGCTTGGAAACGACAATCTTCGCCGCTTGACAGCTGCTGATGAAGTCATGTTGAGAGTTGACTTAGAAGACTTTGATGGCAACGTCGCCTACGCCGAGTACACCACTTTTAAGGTAGCAGGCGAAGCTGATAAGTACCGGCTTATAATTGGTGGATACAATGGCACGGCTGGTGACTCTATGACACGACACAAGTAAGGAAAAGTGTCTATTCTATTCTATCCCATCCTGTCTCATCCTACCCTATCCTGTTGTATTATTCTCTATTTTAATTCATTCAGTTCTATTCGAATTCCATTCTATTCCGATGTACTATCTCTTTGTCCCTCTGTTCGTATGGTGTCTCTAAGTTCTGTCTATCAAGAAATTCTATTCCATTCTATTCCGACCATCTTTTCGTCCCTCTGTTCGTATGGTGTCTCTATGTACTGTCTATCAAGAAATCCGTCTAGACGTTGATTGGTTTTTGTCATTTTTAACGGAGGCAATTTTCCTCAATGGTTGAACATAAATGAAGCAAGGCAATTTATGAATTTTAATCTTATTCCAGCAATATGAAGTTTTCTACGAAAAAACAAGACAATGACATATCTAGTTCCAACTGCGCCCAAGTGTACAAGGGGGCCTGGTGGTACAGCAAATGCCATGCTTCCAATTTAAACGGTTTATATCTCAATGGCCGACAAAGCTCTTATGCCAATGGCGTCAACTGGTATGCATTCAGGGGCTATTACTACTCTCTAAAACGCACCGAGATGAAAATAAAAACCAAGGAATAGGACTGTTTCCATCACATGGTAACAAATTGACATAATATTAATATTGATTATGACGATACCAAAGCCATGACGTTCTTCATCAGTTATATATATATATCTATACTTATACAGTAGGTAGCGATCAAACAAGACGATACATGGTTTCTGTTACTCGGAGTTTCGTGCTTACGCACTCATCAGAGCACCAAAACTCCGAGTAAACAGAAACCATGTGTCGTCTTGTTTGATCGCCACCTACTGTAAAGCTCTGCACATGTGTATTGAGCACTCTTCAACGGTATCGGCTATTTCCTCACATGTATATATATTAGTATAATTTCAGAGCTGAGCAACGAGTTTCCAGCAATCTGATTGGTCGAGCGGTTCCTTATATGACGCTATATGAACCGCTCCACGCGGTTTATATAAAATATTAAAATAAAATGTTAATAAATGTTACTAAAATGTTATGATTTTAGAAATTTCTCTGTTGTTCAGCTCTGAAATTATACTAAAAGAATTATTCGCCTCAGGTTCGGTGAATATTGTCGAATAGTCCCCTCGACTTCGTCTCGGGGACTATTCGACAACATTCACCTCGCCTTCGGCGAATAATTGTTAAATATAGCTTCTGTGGGATCAATACTGACTGACTAGTAGCCTGACC